GGAAAAACAAACACCTTTATAAGCCAATTAGTCTAGACATTAAAGTTACAAACCGTAGAAGAATACCAGGCACACAAATCTCTGTGGATTCGATCCCTAAATACTACAACTGATTAGCTGTGCACTTGCGGCTTTCTTTTGTTTTGTTAAAGGTAAAACTTGTTCCCTCACACAGTTGATACAACATCATAAGGCTTAAAGTATTTAAGGGTACCTGAAGATCTGGAGGATGCAGGATATTATGCAAAACCGCAAGAGAGAGTGAAGCTGTTGGTATCCACAGTTTTCGGTCACTTTCTTCTTGACATAGATTCCTGGTCTTCTTCCTCAGGTTCTCTCCTAACTCCCCCAGACTTAGATTTTTGTAAATCTTTCAAAACCATAGCTCCTTAAACGAATAGTGGTCGCTTATTGCTCCACAAATTTCGACAATCTAAGACTCATTAGGCTTTTTGTTTCCCTCTCTCTTTTCATTCGTTTTTATTATTATTTTTTTTTTAGAGAAAAGGGAATACCTTTAGATATAGAGTCTTAGAGAGCACGAAATTACCAGTCAATATCTGTCTTGTAAAGCTTCATTAAGTTTTTGATACTCCTCCTTCCCAATTCCATTCAGTCTCCTTTGTGTGTGACTGAAAACTGCGTCGCTCTTCTTCTCTCCGATGTTTTTGCACATATCTGCTGATATAAACTAAAGAGAGAATGCATGAGGATTGAGAACAAGGATTTCAATGTCGAATAGGTTACATATTAAAATTTAAAGCAAAAGCAAGAAAATGATTTGTACGGATAGACATCCTCCCTAGTGTGAAAAAGTTGGTGAGAAGATGGTGAATAAAAGCAAAATAAATTAAAAAGAAAAGAAAATGATGATAGAACCGTGATGGTAATGAAGTGCTGATCAATCACTCATCCTCCGATGTGTCGTCTGCGAACTGGTGCTGCTCCTGTAAGAAGGTGACAATGCGCTCAAAGCGTCGTCCCTGTCTCTCAACTCTGCGCTCCAGATCGGAGTGAGTGTGCGATGATGTAGATGATGAGGTTTGGCCGGTCTAAATAGATGTCTGAAAATGAGCACGGGCCGCAGCTGCATCACGCTTCGCCTTGGCCACTATGTATTGGCCAATGGTGAATGGTAGACGAGGTACAGATGGCAGAAAATCATCAGGTTCCGCAGTCCATCGAGGACGTCCTCCGTTACACAATCTCGGGATAGATTCTGAAGGCAAGCTGACTCGGTGCTCCTCAGTGCCAGTGCAATATTTGTAACCAAACCTGTCTGGATCGAAAGCGGCACGAGAGATAGTGTGATCGCAAGAGAGATAAAGTAGAACATACCAGACATTGGGAAGTGGATCATCAGATGAGAAATCGAATCCTACAGCCTGTAGAATCGCTGTAATAGCACTCCCGAAAGCTAGAGTAGCGTCCTTGCACCCATGTAAATCATGCTTCACCTTTACCATATTTTGCACTATGATCCAGGCAAAGCAGGCAAGTTGTGGATCGTCCATAAATGGCATCTGAAATGTGATGAGCTCAGTCTTCAAAACACCTCCCATGTTGGCTCTAGAGAAAATTGTGTCTGCTAAGAGTTTGTGCACAACTCTCACTGCTGGATGAGTAAGAAGGGCTGACTTCGATCTCCCACTATCATAAACTCCATGACCCATCTCTCTCCACATGTTAAGATCAGGTTCATCTTCAAGGTAAATGCCATCAGTGTATGGAAGCTTAAGAGCTTCACAAACCTCAGAAATGGTGAGAGAGTAAGGCTGTCCGCGGATAGAGAATGACAAGATGCCATCTGATGCTCTGGGGTTCCTCCTCTTCGTGTGGTGGAGTGTAATAGTCGCTAAGAACTCATTGACTAGCTCAGGATAAGTCGGAAGGTTCAGCTCCATGTAGGGTCTCAGCTTAAGTTCATCGATGTACCAGATCACATCCTCTCTGATTCCAAGCATCTCGAGTGTATGATAATCAATGCATGGGGTGGGTTTGATGTTCAGCTTCTTTAAACGTCTTGCATAGTCCACTCTCGGGTTTGTCTCCCTCCCAATGTATCGAATCTGTGGTGGCTCAGGAGGTGCTCGCGTTTCTCTTGAGTGCTGGAGCAATCTCATCACATAGTTTCTTCTTCTCGGTCTGGCTTGGTTCAGAAGGTACTCTCCTAGAGTAGCATCATCGGGAATGTCCTCAGAGCTGCCACCAGTGCAACGGCTCCTTCGTGATCTGGTTTGGTCTATTTTTCTGCAAAATGAAATGATTCTTGGAAAAAGAGTGAATATGGATGCTGATTTTAACACATTAAGATCTGTTATACTAATACTAGTATAAAGAGATTAATTAAAACCATGAGCAAGCAGAATCAATATTGAATCAGAGAATTCAAGTAGTTCATGACTAAATTCGGATTTTTGATGTTCTCAACATAGAAATCTTCTAAAAATCGGTTTTGATGAGCAATTTCCATGTAAATTCTAAAGATTACCCAATACTAATCACTAGTCACACAAGACTCAATCAAATTCATCAATTTTGCTGTTCCAAATTCGATTTTTATGAAGCATGTAGAATCCAAATTTCAAAAATCTCAATTTCTCTTAAGCTAGGTGTTTAAAATCGATTTATAGATAACCTAAAAGGATAATCTGTTGTTCTTAAGCTATTTCCACCATCAATAGACCAAGATTTGGGTTTTTAAAGAAAACCCTAAGTTCTAAAATCAAGTAAAAATGGCGAGTTTGAGGTTCATACCTTGCTGGAAAGAGAGATTTGATGGCATAATTGAAATCAGCTTTGAAAAAGAGTGAGGTTTGAGCCAAGAATCTCTTAAGAAGCTTAAGAATTGAAAAAT